TTACAGCTGGTGTCCTTCCAGGAAGGATTGCAATCTCCTTTAATAGTTTACCAAACTTGGACTCAAATTTACAAAGGAACATGCAAGTGTGGTTTCAGCTTCCTTAACCGGTAAGTCTTACTTTCTTTATCCTAATGGATCAGGCCCATATCCCACTTATTACAGTGGCTTGCCATGTAAGTCTTATCTATTCAACAAACATACATTAAACTTTTTTTTTTTTTTAACAAAGTGGGGCTTAAACTCACAACCCTGAAATGAAGACCCGAGCTGAGATCAAGAGTTGGATACATGACTGACTGAGCCACTCAGGCACCCCTAAACAATTTTTAAAATTTTTATTGATTTTTTTATTTTTAAGATTTTATTTATTTATCTGTCAGAGAGAGTGAAGGGGAGAGAGAGAGAGCACAAGCAGGGGGAGTGGCAGGCAGAGGGAGAGAGAGAAGCAGACTCCCTGCTGAGCAGGGAGCTGGATGTGAGACTCCAACCTAGGACCCTAGGGTCATGACGGAAGCTGAAGGCAGACCCTTAACCAACTGAGCCACCTGGGTGCCCTTATTTATCTTTCTTTTAGAGAGCAGCAGGAGAAGCCCAGGGAGAGGGACAGAGAAAATCTTAAGCATGTTTTGTGCCAGCGTGCAGCCAAACACGGGGCTCGATCTCACATCCCTGAGATCATGACCTGAGCCAAAATCAAGAGTTAGATGCTTAACCAACTGAGCTACCTAGGCACCCCAAGCTTTTTTTTTTAAATATTTTTTCCCCCAAAGATCTACTTATTTATTTTAGAGAGAGGGAGAGAGGGGAGAGCGAGAGAAGGGGCAGAAGAGAGGGAAGAAGCAGACTCCCTGCTGAGCAGGGAGCCTGATACAGGGCTTGATCTCAGGACCGTGAGATCATAACCCAAGCCAAAATCAATAGTTGGGTGCTTAGCCAACTGAGCCACCTAGACATCCCTTTAAAGTAAACTCTACGCCCTACATGGGGCTCAGACCCATGACTCCTGAGATCAAGAGTCACATGATCTATTGACTGAGCCAGTCAGGCGTCTCTGTATGGATCAAATATGCTGGCACCAGGAATATAAAGTGATTGATTCATTCACTCAAGTGGCACATTTTTACTGAGTGCCTACTAAGTGCTAGGAAATGGGAACCTGTACATGAATATGACAGAGAGGGACACCTACCCTCAAGAAGTTTACAATGTAGTTGGTGAGCCTAGTTGGCTGAGCAAACAAATTTTTTTAAAAAGATTTTATTTATTTATTTGACAGAGAGTAAGAGCAAGTGCTAATGAACCTCCCTGCTTGTGGCACAGGACATTTGCACTTGCTGCTGAAAATACTCTTGTCTCAGCTAACTCCATAATTAGCGCCCTCTCCTCCTTCACATCATTTCCTCAAAGGCATCCTTTCAGAACAGCTTTCTATGGTCTCATCCTTACTAAAATTTCACATATACATACATATCATCTGTTTCCTCCCTTCCTTTTCATTTTCCCCTTCTAAGCTTTTTTTTCTCCTTGCCATTTATAATAATTTAAGTTATGAAACATGATATATATGTAATAAAACACATATTCCTGAACCCACCACCCAGTCTAGGAAATAGAATGTTATCAATATCTACTCTATAAATGGCTGCATATTTCATGAAATCCCAAAACTATAAAAAAAATCTATTACCAGTTATGGAAGAGTAAAAAAGAATGAGAAATTTCTTTGCACACTGATAAAGAATGATTTACAAGACATATTACTTAAGTGAAGAAAGCAAAGGGCAGAACACTGGAAACACCATGCCATCATTTATGTAAAAGTGGGAGGAGAAAACATGTATACATACATGACTTGTGTATGTAGAAAATCTATCTGAAATGGTACATAAGAGTTGTTCACATTGATCATCTCTGGGAAGGAGACCAAGGTAGCTGGAGATAGGGAGGGGAGACTTTCTATACTGTATACCCTTTTTATGTTTGGAATTCTGTGAACATGAAACCTAATGTCTTCATTTACAAGGGCTACCACAACAAAGTACCACAGAGTGGGTGATTTAAACATCAGAAATTTATTTTCTTGCAAGGGATCCTAGAAATCTGAGATCAAGGTGTTATCAGGGTTGGTTTCTTCTGGCCTCTCTCCTTGGCTTGTAGATGGCCAACTTCTCCCCATGTCTTCACATGACCTCCTCTCTGTGGGTCTGTGTCCTATAATCTCTTCTTCTCTCCCCTCCCCCTCCTTTTTCACCTACTCCTCCTTCTTCTAAATCTCCCCTTCTTAAAATAAAACCAGTCATATTGGATCAGGACCCACCTTAATGACCTAATTTTACCTTAATGATCCCTTTGAAGGCTCCATCTCCAAATACAGTCACATTCTAAGGGACTGGAGGCTGGGTCTCCAACATACTGATTTGCTTGGGGTTGAGGGATGGTTCAGCCCATAGCACCTATCAAAAGAAAAAGCAGAAAATTTAAAATCTATCTCTGGGGGCACCTGGGTGGCTCAGTTGGTTATGTGTCTGCCTTCAGCTCAGGTCATGATCCCAGGGACCTGGGATTGAGTCCCCCATGTCTGGCTCCCTGCTCAGTGGGGAGTCTGCTTCTCCCTCTCCCATCGCCTCTCCCCCTCCTTGTGCTCCCTCTGTCTCTCTCTTTCTCTTAAATAAATAAATAGATAAATAAATAACAAAACCACAGTGGGGCAGATATATGAGTAACTAGGCCATCCCGGTACTGGGTAACACCTGTTACAATAACATGGGAGCACTGAATCATTTAATCCAATCCCAGAGAATTGGGGAAGACTTCCTGGAGGAGGAGAAAATGTGTAGGCTGGGATCAAACCGCGGGCAACATGTACCAAACAACTTTCAGTAGAGAGGCTGATTAATTCTCCAGGGAGGAAAAGGAAGGTTTCACAGAGGCCAAGATGGGCTGAATCTCAGTGTTTCTCTTCCAACCAAGAAAGGGGCCACAAATTCAGAGTCAAATTCTTTGGCAACTCTGAAAAGTAACAGTGTTAGCCTTATTAAAAACATGCAGTATTGGCGCGCCTAGGTGGCTCCGTCATTAAGCGTCTGCCTTGGGCTTGGGTCCTGATCCCAGCACGCTGAATGGAGCCCTACATCAGGCTCCCTGCTCAGCAGGATGCCTGTTCTCCCTCTTCCACTCCTCTTGCTTGTTGTGTTTCCTCTCTCGCTGTCTTTCTCTGTCAAAAAAATTAAAATCTTTAGAAAAAACAAAACAAACAAAAAATGTACAGTATTGGGGCACCTGGGCAGCTCAGCTGGTTAAGTGACTGCCTTCAGCTCAGGTCATGATTCTGGAGTCCTGGGATTGAGTCCCACATAGGGCTCCCTACTTAGCAGGGGGTCTGCTTCTCTCTCTGACCCTGCCCCTCTCATGCTCTCTCTCATTCTCTTTCTCAAATACACAAAATCTTACTTTTTAAATTTTATTTACTTATGACAGAGAGCAAGCGAGCGAGAGAGGAAACACAAGCAGGGAGAGCAGCAGGCAGAGGGAGAAGCAGGCTTCCCACTGAGCAGGGAGCTGGACTTGGGGCTGGATCCCACAATGCTGGGATCACGACCTGAGCCAAAGGCAGACGCTTAAGGACTGAGCCACGAGGTGCCCCCAAATAAACAAAATCTTAAAAAATAAAAAAATGAACCAAAAAACCCCATACACTATTTGGCACACCTGGGTGGCTCAGTGAGTTAAGTGTCTGACTCTTCGCCTGGGTCTCGATCTCAGGGTTGTGAGTTCAAGCCCAGTGTTGGGCTCCACGCTGGTTGTGGTGCCTACTTAAAAAAAAAAAAAAATGGCATTTGATTTCTTTTCAATGACTATATTCTTTTTTCCAGTGTTGTAGCCATAAAGAATCTCCACACACAAAGGGATCCGATCTGTGTGGCTGCTTAAATCTTGCCATGTGATGTAACACAAGGTACGGGCTTGTTTAGTAATTGTCTGTTGAGATGGTTTCTCCCTAAGAACATGAACTATTCATCTTTTTAAAAAAAATTTTTACAAGTGAAATCAATCACGTTACGTTAGAAATTTCAGGGGTGGGGTGGGGTGGGTAGCAATCTCTCCCAGAAATGCTGTCTCGCTAAAAATTGCCTGAGGGGGGGGCGCCTGGGTGGCTTAGTGGATTAAAGCCTCTGCCTTCGGCTGGGGTCATGATCCCAGGGTCCTAGGATCGAGCCCCACATGGGGCTCTCTGCTCAGTAGAGAGCCTGCTTCCCGCTCTCTCTCTCTCTCTCTCTGCCTGCCTCTCTGCCTACTTGTGATCTCTGTCTGTCAAATAAATAAATAAAATCTTTAAAAAAAAATTGCCTGAGGGGACCGACACTTCGACTTCACCTTCCACCTGACAAGTTCTGATTAGGGGGAGAGCGCTTTGCCCACAGGCTCGGGGACCAAAAGGAGCCCGAGACAAGCTGGCAGGTCCGAAAGGCCACGGATTCTAGAGCTCGACGGAAGGTTCCGAGAAGCAGGGGAATGAGGCTTGTCACTTAAGTACAGCACTTTATCAAGAGTTTATATGAAGAGGGACATTTCTTTAGCTCAGTGTGTCTTGAGGCCGTGGCAAGAATTCCCAAAGAGTTCACTTAAAGTGACAAAATAGAACAAAACAAAAAGGAGCTTATTTGTATTTGCCTGCTTGCCACGCCCACCCTTCAGCCTCTCAAATCCTGGCCTGAAAAGTGCGCCGGGGCTGAAGCGACTGCACGTGACAGGTAAGACATTCCCAGGCCCGCCCTTCCCGTCTCCAGAGGAGTACATCCGGGACCCCGAGGGGCGTGGCTTGGAGGAGGAGTCTAGAGGCAACGTCCCGGCTCCGCCCACCCGGCTCTGCCCACAGCCAGGCACGCCGGCCGCGCCGTCCATGCCCGCCAGAGGTCGCCCGCTCAGCAAACAGGGTTCTTATTTGGCAAGTGTCTGCCCGGTCCGGCTCCTAGTTGTCGCGAGAGAAAGCGCAAAGCCTGCCGGGAGGGATGAGCTGCAGTCCGTAGGTTTGCCCAAAATGGCAGCCTTGGAGGAGGGGTTCACGTTGTCTGCGGTACCCTTGGGTGCCGGGCCTCACGGACTCCTAGGCGTGGAGCAGAGCGACAAAGCAGATCAGTTTTTAGTGACGGACGGCGGCAGGACCGTCATCCTCTATAAGGTGAGGGTGATGTGGTCGGAGAGCGCCCGCTGAGGTCTCGCCCCTTTCTGAGCACAGAGCCAGAGCTGCAGGTTTCTCACAGCTTCAGAGAGAGATCGTCTAGCGGCTTATTGGAGAGCTGGCTTGGCCTCTTCGGGCTGCTGAATGAGGTCTAGTGTAGGACTCGGTTGTTTTTCTGGAGAGAGAGAGACCTCTTTCCGACTTTCAGGCGGCGGAGCGTCTGAGTGCACGTGGGTTAGACGCAGAAAGGAAAGGAAAACCTGGGCTTTCGCTTCGCATCTCCCGGTGATGGCCTTAAGATCCCCTCCCGGGTTTTCAGTTACTCTCGCTTCCCGCAGAAGGGTTGAACAGAGATCGGGCGGGAGAGAGTGATTGGCAGCGTGGGAACAGTGGTTTAACTTTGTGCTCATACACTTTCCCCCTCTCTTTGGGGGAAAAGTTTTGCGCATTGTTTTGCTCGTTTGATTTCTTAGTAGCTTGACGCAATCCTGATTCCGAGTGAGCTGTCAGTTGCCAACTAAAATCCGCTGTAAATCCTGGAGTTGAGTCCTTGGCAGGCTCTATAGGTCCCGCCCCCTTTTTATCCAAACTCTTCACTCAAGACTCCTGAGCAGTTTTGCTTTTCGTAGTCTCGTAGAAAGTAATTATTTTTATCTGGACTGCTAAACATAGTTTCCCGTGTCTTTAAGAAGCTAGCTAGCTACTCTGAAGTTTTGGGAACAGGTTGCCAACATTCCCTGTAGCGTTTGCAGGTGTTGACTCTTTCTGATGACACTGTTGGTTTTTACCTCCACCATTGGGTGGACTTAAAATTTACAGTGACTGGAATTGGCATGATCCCAGGTATACCTGCTCAGTTTCCCATGCCCCGTTCAAAGGCACAGTGGAATCCCATTTTTTAAAATGTACTATTTACTAAAAAGTGTTGTTAATTTACTTTTCTCTTTTAGTAACTTAGTTACATTTTCATTTTAATTAATTTTTTAAAGTTTTTTATTTTAAAAGAATATTTATTTGAGAAAGAGGGAGAAGCAGACTGCTGCTGAGCTGGGAGGCTGATGGGGGGAGTGGGCGGGTCATCCCGCGGACTCAGAGATCATGACCCTAGCCAAAGACAGAGGCTTAACCAATTGAGCCACCCAGGCACCCCAAGTTTTTTGTTGTGTGTGTGTGTGTGTGTTTTAAACATTTTATTTATTTATTTGATGGAGAGAGAGAAAGCAGAGAGAGACCGTGAGAGCGGGAACACAAACAGGGAAGTGGGAGAGGGAGAAACAGGCTTCCCGCTGAGCAAGCCTGATGCAGGGCTCGGATCCCAGGGTCCTGGGATCATGGCCAGAGGCCGAAGGCAGACTCTTAACAACTGAGCCATCCAGGCACCCTGGCACCCCAAGCTTTTTATATGTGTAGTAAAATACAACATGCAGTTTACTGTTAACTATTTTTTGAGTATACTGTACAGTGTATTAAGTATGTTTATGTTGTGCAGCCTTCACACCATCCGTCTCCCAAACTCTTCATCTTGAAAAACTGAAATAAGAAGTAACTCCCCATTCCCCCAGCCCCTGACACCACCATTCTACTTTCTGTCTTAAAGTGGAATCGTACAGTGTTTGCCTTTTTTGTGATTACTTACTTTTTTACTTTAGGAAATTTATTTTTTTAAATATTTTTTTAAAGATTTTATTTATTTATTTGGCAGATCACAAGTAGGCAGAGAGGCAGGCAGAGAGAGGGGGAAGCAGGCTCCATGCTGAGCAGAGAGCCCGATGTGGGGGTCCATCCCAGGACCCTGGGATCATGACCCGAGCTAAAGGCAGAGGCTTTAACCCACTGAGCCACCCAGGTGCCCCACTTTAGGAAATTTATTAAATGTTACTATTTTAATTCTTATTTTCTTTGTCTTGATTGTAAATTTAATTGCTCTAATATCTGAAATTGAGTTTTTGAATATTTTATGTTGCCTTGATTTTACTAGGTTTCTGATCAGAAACCCTTGGGAAGCTGGTCGGTGAAACAAGGTCAAATTATAACATGTCCAGCTGTATGCAACTTTCAAACTGGAGAGTATATTGTTGTACATGATAATAAGGTGAGTTTTAAAACTTTTTATATAATGTGTGCAACAAATCAAATGTCGATTTATTAACTATTTGTGTTAAATGTAAGTGGAAATTGGAATGCTTTTTTAACTTGTGTGTATTGATTTAAGGTTTTGAGAATATGGAGTAATGAAGACGTAAACCTGGATAAAGTATTTAAAGCTACAGTAAGTCTTTGGATTTTTTTTTTTTATTTTTTAAGATTTTTATCTATTTGAGAGAAAGAAAGAGAGCACAAGTAGGGAGAAGGAGAAGCAGCTCCCGGCTGAGCAGGGAGTCTAATGCGGGGCTCAGTCCTAGGACCCCACAGTCGTGACCTGAGCTGAAAGGAGACTCTTAACTAACTGAGCCACCCAGGCTCACATATTAGTCTTTGGATTTACTAGTATGTCTGTTAGCTTATTGGTGAGATGCAATAATTTGTAATGTAGTATTTTGTTTATCTTAGTATATCTGTGAAAGTGAGCATAAAAGTTATATCAGCTTTTCACTCTAGTTATTTTATAGTGTATCTTGGAACACATCTTAGTTCATTAATGTGTTAGAAAATAGAAACTTTATTATTACATGAGATTAAGGATTTAAATAATTCCTGAATGGTACTTCCATGAGTTTAGATGTTTATGATGTGTCCCTTGTGAGAACTTCACTGTGCCCTTTCTTAAAATAGGTAGAACAGACCCTGCTGATTTTATTATATAGCTTAAGAGTGTACAGAATGCAGTAAGAAAGAACCTTGAGTATCTGTGCCTTTTCTACTAATGACCTAAGTGTGTGTGTGTGTGTGTGTGTGTGTGTGTGTGTGTGTGTGTGTGTTTAAAGATCTATTTATTTATTTGAGAGAGAGAGCACGTGCAAGTGGTCGGGGGTGGTGGAAGGGAGAGAGAGAATCTCAAGCAGACCCCTCTGAGCATGGAGCCAGAGACAGGGCTGGATTTCACAACCCTGAGATCATGGCTTGAGCCGAAATCAAGAGTCATAAGCTTAACAGATCAAGCCACCCAGGCACTCCTAACCTAAAGTGTGTTAATTAACTTTTCTTACTTAAACATGAGGGTCTCAAACTAGGGTAACCTTGAAAGTTCTTTCCAGTTCTAAATGTCTAACTAAATATAATTGGTAGATTTTAGAAGTGGCACATGATAGAACTGATTGAGATGTAATGGCAGTTACCACTTGGACCCTTGAAACTTCTAGCTAGCTAACCGTTGTCTCCTGGCCCCAGTCTTTTTATTCACCTTGCAGTAACATGATCCTTAATTTTACAGTGGAGTTAACTTCTTTTCTTGGGCTTACAGGCTGTAGTTGTAATTATGGCATCAGTCTTTAGCCCCGGGACTGCTTAAAACTGCATTAGTGGTGTCATTTATACCTCTCCCCACCTTCAAGTTTTGAGAGCCAGGTGGTAGTCAAAATAAAAGGATAAACCAAAAATGCATAAAAATGATGATTTACGGCTGGCTCAGTCAGTTAAGTGTCAGACTCTTGATTGAGGCTCATGTCATGATCTCAGGGTTGTAGGATGAAGCCCCACATTGGACTCTGCGCACAGTATAGAGCCTGCTTGATTTCTGTTTCCCTCTCCCTGCGCCCCTCCCTCTGCTCACCCATGCTCTCTCTAAATACATAAACAAAATCTTCAAATAAATAAATAGATATCTTATAAAGTGATGACTTAAGGGTAAAGCAGGGGACAGGGTAAATGGTATAGGAGCAAAAGGTTTCTGTATGTATTTTATGTTGTACATTTGACTGTGGAACCATATAAAGCTGAATCAAAATGAAAACAAGTCAGTTCTTAAAAATAAACTTTCTGTAAATGTCCTTATTCTCTTAGGGAGCAATTGTTTTAGAATAAAAACTAATGCATTCTTACTTTCTTCTAGTTGTCTGCTGAGATATATAGGATACATTCAATACAAGGGGCAGAACCCTTAGTGCTCTTCAAGGAAGGTGCTGTCCGTGGCTTAGAGGCCTTGCTCGCAGAGCCCCAGCAGAAAATTGAAACTGTTATCTCTGATGAAGAAGTGATTAAGTAAGTTCCAATACTTGTAAGTGAATTTTTTCCATAATAAAAATCTACTGTGCATATTTTTATAGCATTCTTTGCTTTGTTCAAAAGTATTTTGGTTATAAATACAGTAAAAGCTTAATTAAAAACCATTTATATGCCATTGACCAAATCAGCATCCTCCAAAAGCCTCTGGAGTGATCGGTGATTGCGGAGACTGTATAGGTATGTGAGTCCTGTTTTGATGACAGAAGACTGTATAGGAGTTATTTGAAGATGACGTGGCTAGTGCCATGAGCCCAAAATCTCTCCCTGTTAAATTGCCCTGACTGCCAAGGTCAGAACCCTTACCCCTGAGGACAAGTATAGTTTGTTGTTAGTGACATGATGATAGTCCTTTCAGCACCCTGCTTTCCCAGATTCTGGTATAAAACTGGGAAAATGACTCTCAAATGATAGAAGGAAATTTCATGATTTCACATTTCTCTAGTCCCCATTTTTTTTTTTAATATTTTATTTATTTATTTGTCAGAGAGAGAGATTTTGTACAAACGGGGAGTGGCAGGCAGAGGGAGAAGCAGACTCCCCGCTGAGCAGGGAGCCGGGTTCAGAGCCTGATCCCCGGACCCTAGGATCATGACTTGAGCCGAAGGTAGACACCTAACCAACTGAACCACCCAGGTGCCCCTCCAGTCCCCATTATTTTATCACATTTCCTATTTAGTTAACTTACTGCCTCTCCTGGTCCACTTGATGCAAGCTAAATTTCTAAAAGTCAGAAGGAAGCCTTGTAATTAGTGAACAATGTAGACAATGACCAGGTGTATCTTGGACTGCTCTGTTGAATGGCTCTAATGTGTGAGCAACTGTGTTTGGAGGAAATCTTCAGGAAAAAGGGAAATAGGTAGAGGATATGAGTTCTAGTGGCCACTTTGCCAGAATTTGGCTATGTAGCCTCAGTTACAAGTTATCTTCCTGTGCCTCCTGTCCAGGCAGGTGAGATCCTAATGTTTTCCTCAGAGCACTAGTCCTAAAAGTGACTGAAAAGGAACGGGAAGGGGAGGAGTCAAATAAGTTGAATAACACTGCCTACTGTCACACACCCACCCCATTGGAGCTTTACAATTCACATTGTCTTTAAAGCTCTAGGAAGTTAAGCAACTTGCCTTTAATCCAGAGATTCATTTGGCAGAGAAATACCTACTAATTCTCTGTGAAATGTATTTGGAAACACTGAATTAAGTTCTCTGACATCTCTTTGACTCTAAAAAATTATAGAAGATATTCTTTGAAATTTAGCTTGATAGGTTTCTCTCAGCTGGTGATTTGGCATTTTATAAATTTTCTTCTATTTTTTTTAGGTGGACAAAGATTTTCATGGTATTTAAGCATACTGTTCTAATTTTTATTACTGAAAAAGTAAGTGGTATCTTTAATTCCTGGCCTATTTTGTGACATTTCAAATTCACATATATTATTTTTAAACTAAAAATGGGCTTTAGTATTTCTGTCAGAAGATTTTTTTTATTGTATATCTTTTTTAAATACTAAAAAATCTAGTTACAACGAAATATTTTTTAGAACAATTTTACTTTAATTGGATGAGAGGTTTTTAAGCACTCAGTAAAGTAATTAGGAGGGTGACAACTGGCTTTAACATTTAAATATAATTGGTTGAAATGGGAATATTTTTAAATAAAATAACCTTTTTATGTGCAGCATGGAAATTACTTTGCTTACATACAAAAGTTCAACTCACATACCTTAAGCAAATACACGCTCTTACTTGGACAAGAAGAAAAATCTGTTATACAGAGTTTCAGCGCATCTGTGGATCGGAACTTCATCTCTTTGATGTCATTAAGTAAGTATTTTTCTTCAAACTTACAGAGATGATAAATAAAGGATGGTGGGTTTTCTGAGTTAGCATCTGAGGTTTTTTGCAGTTTTCTGTTGTAGCACTTCCCTTCCCGTGCTTCCTTCCAAGCATTTGTGCCTTCACTTTTTGTACTTTGCCATATCTGTCATGCATTACGTCACTGGTTCTCTGCAGCTAATTTTTATATCTTAAGATTTATCAGGGCACCTGAGTGCTCGGTCCATTAAGTGTCTGCCTTCAGTTCAGGTCACGATCCTAAGGTCCTGAGACCTCCCAGTCCTGGGCTCCCTCCTCAGCAGAGAGTCTGCTTCTCCCTTTCTCTCTCCCTCTTCCTCTCCCCCTGCCTATGTTTGCTGTCTCTCTCTTTCAAATAAATAAAATCTGTTAAAATATACATATATATGTATATTTTAACAGATTTTATTTATATATTAAATATAAATATATAATATATACATACACACACATATATATATGTATATATAAAGCAGTAGTAACATAATACCAATAAAAAAAGGAAAAATCCTTTTTTATTTTTATCATCATAAGGCTAGGTTCTTTGGTACTGTAAGTAGTGAAGCATAAAATAATTAAGGCGGCCCTCGTTGGCTTAGTCCATTAAGCGTCTGCCTTCAGCTCAGGTTGTGGTCCTGGGGTCCTGGGATCGCGTCCCACCTTGGGATCTCTGCTCACCTGCTTCTCCCTCTCCCTCTGCCTGCTGCTCTGTCTACTTATGCTCACACACACACGCACACATTCTCTCTGTCAAATAAATAAATAAAAACTTTAAAAATAAGTAAATAAATAATAAAATAACAAAGGTTGGTATTGAGTGACCCTTCTAGTTCTCTTTTCTAGCCTTAAGATTTAGGGGACCCTTCTTTGAACGATGGTGGAGGCAGGTGAGTTAATGGAATCTAGCAAAGCATTCGTGGCCTCTGCCATCCAGCATTTTATAGATTTGTTGATCCCTTGTAGATTATCTGTATCTAATGGTCTAAAGCATAACCCCAATCTTAGGTGACTAGGAAAAAGAAAAATGCCTTTGTGGTGTCCTCTTTATCCTGCCCTTTATGGCTCCTCTTGAAGTTGTTTTGAGAGAATTAAGGGAGGAAAGAACAAGGACAATATTTTCATAGTATGACAATTTAAAAATCTTAATATCTTTATTTTATTGGTTTCAGAGGTAGAATTTAGTGATTCATTAGTTGCATATAACACCCAGTGCTCATTACATCAAGTACCCTCCTTAATGCCCATCACCGAATTATCCCTTCCTCCCACCCCAGTTAAAAAATCTGTGAGATTTTTTAATGTGCAAATGTTTGCAATGGCTATTAAGAAAAAGTTCCCATCATTTATTTTATCTAGAAGGTCTTTGGAATTCGCTTAATGCCTTTGCTTAAGAGGGACTGGTTTTCTTATAGTTTAATCTGTAAGATATACTTAGTGATTTGGCTTGGTTTGGTTTAGTTTTTTTTTTTTTAAAGATTTTATTTATTTATTTGACAGAGAGAGATCACAAGTAGGCAGAGAGGCAGGCAAAGAGGGAGAGAGGAGGAAGCAGGCTCCCCGCTGAGCAGAGAGCCTGATGCGGGGCTTGATCCCAGGACTCTAAGATCATGACCTGAGCTGAAGGCAGAGGCTTAACCCACTGAGCCACCCAGGCACCCCTAGTTTGGTTTTTTAAGTAGGCTTCATGCCCAGCATGGGGCTTGACTTCACAACTGAGATTAAGAATTGCATACTCTACAAACTAAGCCAGCCAGGTGCCCCAGATACTCTTATTGCTGAATGAAAGTTTATGAGTTAAGTTTTAGTTTACTGAATGAATACTGTAATAAGGGAATCTGAACCAAAGGTCATAAAAATCTTCCTGTAGCATAACTAGAACCACAATAAAATTGCCAAAATTCAGTTGACATGCCAAAAAAACAGCAATTTCATATGGTTTTCATATGAGATTATTATTCATAATTAATGTTGAATATGAGGTATATCCTTTTAGTGACTAGATTGTCTGTATTCCTGCAGTTCCCTCGCATATTCTAAGTTATAATGAGTATTTAGCTGTTGTGACATTTCTTACTGAGAGATTTAATAATAATATTCCTCCCTCAAGTTTAGGTTTGTAGTACAATTTAAGGGAAAGCATAGAGTGGTATGATTTTGAATCTGTTTATTTTTCTAGTTGTATCCTATATGAAATTGATACAACTTACAAACAACCTAGTACTTTGAACTGTAATAGATACAGAGCTGTCCTTTATCTGATAATAGCAAATACTTGTTTCCAACAGGCTCTGATGGATGTGTATATGAAACCTTGGTACCAATACATCCACGTGACCCAGAGAAAGATCAGAGGGTGGTTAGATCACTGTTGCTCAAGACTGTGGTGTCTGGTGATGCTCGAAATGGTGTTGCACTCACCGTCCTGGATCAAGATCATGTAGCGGTCCTAGGACCACTGCTGCCGTCTTCCAAGGGTGACTGAAATCTGATCCATTAAGAAGTCCTTTGGATTTTTCCTTCAAAGTGTGCCTTTTAGTCTTTTTCTTTTTTATTTATTATCACCCATTAATTTTCTTTAGCATCATAATCAAATTATTTTTGTAGCTTCCTAACTCTCCTTGAATAGGTCTTTGATTTCATCTTACATTAGTTACTTTTTTTAAGTTTGTTTATTTTATTTATTTGTGTATTTACTTATTTACCTATTTATTTATTTTTACTTATTTCTACACCCAACACTCAAAACCCTGAGATCAAGAGTCACATACTCTGTTGACTGAGCCAGCCAGGTGCCCCGTCTTTTAGAAATATTCCTTGTATTACTACCTTGCCTATGACTAATGTCTTAAAGGAATAAAAACTGCCAATATCTGTGCCAGCCTATAGGCATTTGATCATCGGTAAGCCTTGTGGTAGGGATTCGAATTCATAGCCTTTCAGCAGAAAGGAAATCCACTAGACTTGGACAACCTGATATTCAGGAACTGCTAATAGGCTTTTTCATCTCTGACATCAGAGCATCATTCTCCTTTCCACCTCCTCTTGCCCCCAGATAACCCCTCCACACACACACAGACTTACTGTCTATCACAAAAAATACATTTGTTCTGGCCAGTGTGAGATTAGGGTTTTTCAGGCAACACTATGAAACTCAGAATCTTTTGTCTAGTATTAAGGTCTCTCCATAGTCTAGACCTCATCCACTCTTTCCAGTCTCTTTTCTCCGTTTCTGAGCAAGAATCCTTTGATTTATTCATCACAGGCTGCCTACTGACTGTACTCTTAACCTGTCCATCGTAGTCCGTGTACTTTGTTCTTAAGTTTCTCCCTCTTAAGATAGGAGCTACTAGTTAGAGCACAGCTATCCTGCGCAGGGCATTTTATGTATATTATCTTGTTTGTATCATTTAATCTTTCAGCAACACTAGGAAACAAAGTAGTTACTAACAGCAGTCCTATTTTACAAGTCAGCAGACAGGTATTGGATAACTAAGTAGGGTGACCCTTTTTACCCAGGCCACAGACCTTACTGATCTCCAGTCCCGGCACTTTGTCACTTTACCATGCTGTGCTTCTCTCGCCCCTACCGTCATCCCTCTTCTGGGTCCTGCTCTAATCACCAAAGCCCGGTAACTACTGTTAGAGCTTCCTGTGGCTCTTTCTAGACATGGGTACAAGCACATGTGTACAAGCAAATACTACTACTTACTTTTCTTTCCTCTTCTTTTTACATGTATAGTAGCAAACCATTCACACTTGTGCACCTTATTTATTCACTTACTGAGGGATTGTAGAGCCCTTTCCATATCAACATTTATTACTAATTTACTATTATTGTTATTATTAACAGTTTATTTTTTTAGAGCAGTTTAAGGTTCACAGCAAAATTGAGGGGAAGGTATGTAGATATCCCATATGCCCGCTGCCCTCACCCATGTCCACTTCTTGTCATAAGATCTCATTTCCTTGAGTTTCTGTGGCAATCACTCTCTTCATTACTCATTTTATGCCTAATAAAACAAGACTTACATGTTTAACTGTGAGTCTCCCTAATCTCCTCACTTCCTTCCCCATCACCCTCAGCGTCACATGTTTATATGTGGTACAACTCTGAATTTGTCTGTCTTTGTAGAATGCGTCTCCATATGGAACACAAAATTTCAAACACTACAGGCTTCCAAAGAACTACCACAGGGGACCAGCGGTCAAGTAAGTTTTTGGTTTTGGGGATTTTCAAATTTAGGTACTTTTGTGCATGATAAATACAGTATAAAGGAAGAGACTTCATATTTTAATAATTTAGCAGTTTTTGATTAAATTGAGAAAATAATTTTTACTTGCAAGATTATATTTAATTTGGTTATTGTTTCAATTTTTGTTAAGTTTGTCACTTTCAATTATAGGCTATTTTATTTTATTTATTTATTTATTTAAGATTTTTACTTATGTATTTGACAGAGAGAGATCACAAGTAGGCAGAGAGGCAGGCAGAGAGAGAGGAAGGGAAGCAGGCTCCCTGCCAAGCAGAGAGCCCGATGTGGGGCTCGTTCCCAGGACCCCGGGATCATGACCTGAATGAAGGCAGAGGCTTAACCCACTGAGCCACACAGGCGCCCCATATAGGCAATTTTAGATCAAGGAAGAACAATGAGCAAGTAAAACGTAGCTGCTCTTTGGTTTGAAGTTTTTACTTTTTTTTTTAAGATTTTATTTATTTATTTGATAGAGATCACAAGTAGGCAGAGAGGCAGGCAGAGAGAGAGAGGGGGAAACAGGCTCCCTGCTGAGCAGAGAGCCCAATGTAGGGCTCGATGTGGGGCTTGATGTGGGGCTCGATCCCAGGACCCTGGGATCATGACCTGAGCCAAAAACAGAGGCTTCAATCCACTGAGCCACCCAGGTGCCCCTGAAGTTTTTACTTTTGTATTTCTTTATAAATTATTTCTGTTTATTATTATTTTTTAAAGATTTTATTTATTTGTTTGTTGGACAGAGAGATCACAGGTAGGCAGAGAGGCAGGCAGGTGGAGGGGGAAGCAGGCTCCCCGCTGAGCAGAGAGCCTGATATGGGGCTCGATCCCATGAGCCTGAGATCATGACCTGAGTTGAGGGCAGAGGCTTAACCTACTGAGCCACCCAGGTGCCCCTTTATTATTATTTTTTTTTAAGTATTCTCTATATCCAGTGTGGGGCTTGAACTCAAAACTTCGAGACCAAGAGTCACATGCTCTACTGACTAAGCCAGCCAGGAGCCCCATTCCAGTTCCACTTGTATTTTGAACCATACACCAGGGCTGTTACTTTTCTTAGGAAATTAGTCTTTTAGGTTACATGGTTAACATTATCATGGAGTTACATAAGGATTATTTTTTTAAGATTTATTTCTGTATTTATTTGAGAGACAGAGACAAAGAGAGGGAGGGCAGGCACAAGCACGGGGAGGGGCAAAGGGAGAGGAGAGAGAGAATCTCAAGTAGACTCCCCGCTGAGTGCAGAAGCCACTACGGGACTCCATCCCAGGGTCCTGAGATCATGACCTGAGCTGAAATGAAGAGTTGGATGCTTAACTGACTGAGCCACTCAGGCGCCACTTACATAAGAATTATTGAAGAGTTTAAATGTTAGCCATCCAGACCAAACTTCTGAGGCAGGGGTCCTCGTCTATTCTGTTACCCATTTTTTCTTCAGTGTCTGTCAAAGGTGCCCATAAGGATTGGTTGTTCAGTGAATGCATTTTCATATATAAGTAAAATGTAATCAAGGTAATGTGATGTTAAGATAGTTGTAATTAGAGCATAAGGAGTCTAGATTTCACAGCATGCAATATGATTTTATATTGAAACAAATAATAACAAAATTAACCACTTACAGTTCTACCACTCTAACAAACTTGTTTGATTTCCATGTTCCTTTAAGCTTTTTGTTCATATATCCATCTTACATTTTACCGTTTTAAAAAGTGGAGTGATAAGATAGAAACAATGTTAGCAGCAGCCCTTTCTCCCCATGGGTGCTGTCCCCATGCTTTAATAAAAATCACCTTTCTGCACCAAAACAAAAACAAAAACATTAAATTCTGCTTTTATCACCTAGCACATCATTAACAGAGTGCCCTGTTACGGTACCCTTGGTAATTATTACATTAATAGGTGTATAACAGTGGCAATATTACTTTTAAATAATTATTTTAAATGCATATGTTGATCAAATTTTTTAGGAGTAAAGCATATTCTTCAAATTATGCTTTATTCAGACGTGGGCAAAAATAAGAGCTGTGTAAACCTACTCAGTAGGTTGTACATGTGAGATTATTCTGGAAAGTTGCTTAACTTTGTTTTGTCATTTTTTTTTTGTTATATTAAGATTCCTCATACCATAAGTTACTGTTATAAATGCAACTCAGATCTTAGAAGTGGAAAAAAAAATTGCTTACTTTTTTCCTTTTTAAAAAGATTTTATTTATTTATTTGACAGAGATAGAAACAGTGAGAGAGGGGATACAAGCAGGGGAAGTGGGAGAGGGAGAAGCAGGCTTCCTGATGAACAGGGAGCCTGATACGGGGCTCAGTCCCAGGACCCTGGGATCATGACCTGAGCCTAAGACAGATGCTTAATGACTGAGCCACCCAGGCGCCCCTGCTTACATTTTTTATAACATTTTTTTGTAGCTCTGGTATTATGGGGAAAATTTATTTGTGCTACATGGAAAATTTCTTACGGTGATTCCGTACAAGTGTGAAGTATCTTCATTAGCAGGTGCTCTTGGAAAACTCAAGCATAGTCAAGATCCAGGTAGGAACTTCCGTTTGTGGTTTGGTTTTGTTTTTGTTTTTTAAGTAACGTCTGTATCCATTGTGGGTCTTGAACCTGAGATCAAGAGTTACATGCACTACTGACTGAGCCAGCCAGGTGCCCCAGGACCTTCTGTTTTTTTACTAAGATAAACCATTTTATTAACTTCCAGTTTGATGTAGATTTCTACAACCATCAGTTTGCAGAACCTGTTTTTGATGTTGAAATTTGCCATGATTATTGAAGTTTCCTTGACCCAGGTGTCTACCTTGGGAACAGTCTCCATTGCAGTTGCTGCTGCAGACTGAAGATCTAAACACCAGGGTTCTGACATCAGGGGCAGTGGGAGAGTCCAGACAAAATGATTAATAGTTTTACCCTTCCAGGCTTATCAGTGGTCTCCTCTCTTGGCTTAATGTTACTGGCACATAGCTTTATACTGTATTATGATGTACTGATCTGGGGTTCTCAAGGGAATTCAGTGATCTTTAAACAGTGATCTTAAACTGTGCGCAAATGGTCATTTTTTGTTCTTTGATTGGTTGGCAAAATACAGTAAGTCAAAAAATTCCAGAAATTGTATGCTTTGTGTTTTCTTAGGCACTCAGACTGTGCCTCACTTTGTAAACTGGGAAACATCTCGGGGACATAGATTTGGATCCCAGAACTCAGAGCAGTCAAAGAGAATTGTAAGTTTGGTAGTTGAAATAGAAATGTTAATGCAAATGTTGGGGGGGAAAAAAGAAAGAAAAAAAGAAAAGGTTGAATTACCTTAATGATTCACATCTGTACAATGCTTATAGCTTTGATCTTTCTTTTTTTTTTTTTTTTTTTTAATTTTTATTTATTTGACAGATCACAAGTAGGCAGAGAGGCAGGCAGAGAGAGATGGGGAAGCAGGCTCCCTGCTGAGCAGAGATCCCGATGCGGGGCTCAATCCCAGTACCCTGAGATCATGACCTGAGCCTTAGGCAGAGGCTTAACCCTCTGAGTCACCCAGGCGCCCTTGATCTTTTTTAAAAAGATTCTGTTGAGAGAGCGCGTGCGCACGCATGTACATGTGACCCGCGGGAGGATGCTGTGGGAGAGGGAGAAGCAAACTCCCCACTGAGCAGGGAGCCCAATGTAGGACTCGATCCCAGGACCCTGAGATCATGGAGTGAGCCGAAGGCACACACTCAATGACTGAGCCACCCAGGCGCCCCTATAGCTTTGATCTTAATGACAGAGCAATTTGAATCTTGAACCCACTAACCTGACATCTTTTATCCAGAAATGACATGTGTAGTGTAGTAGTTAATTATTATGGGCATATGTACGTTTAAGACACAGATATGAAAATGGGCAGTTTGCAATTAATAATAATGCCTTCCTGAGAGTAGAGATTTTGTGTTTAAGAAACAAATACATTAAAAGTCTTAAAGGTATTTAAGTTAGTTGCAATAAATCTACTTTTCACTATAACCAAATTAAAATAGTTTAAAAAGTTTTTGATTAGAGCATATGTATGCTATTCTAGACTCTTTAAGACACCTTATATTCTCCTAAATATATTTTGGATCTTTGGCATTGTTTTGAGATCCTCATTAATTTATTTAATTCCAGTTAAGGAGAAGAAAACCTGAAGTGAGTGTACAGAATCCAGCATCCAAACAACTTCTATCTGCTATAAAGGTAAATACAGTATTAAAAATACCAAAAATCAGCTCAAGTGGTTAAAAGAAATCCCATCTACTTTCATTCATTCTTACTTTTATGATCTTTTTTTTTTGTATCTGCAGCTAACAGTTGTGTAGTGCGTTAAGATTGTCAGAGCTATCTAGTACTTTGGCTTATTTGACTTTTACTAAGTATTTTGTGAGGTCAGTGTGATGGTGGCAGCCTCTTTCCCTTTGCATTGAATATGTTTGTAACTGAGCCTCTTAAAGAATTTGATTTCTAAACTCTGGCATTGTGTTCCGTTTTGTGTTTTGTAGTTTGTCTTTGGGCAGTGAGTTGCAGCATGAACTCCAGTTTCGCAGGATTGCATGAATACTGTTAATGATTTAAGAAAATGTTGAGCTAGTGACTTAAAAGTTCAGAGTGACTTTAATGTACCAGACTGAACTGTCTTACTTCTGCCCTTTCAGAAAGATTCAGAAAAACACATTGAAGAAGAACTATGTAAATTTTTGGCTATTAAACCAACACCTGACTTTAATACTATTATTGGAGACATAGTATCAGAACTCCTGGGAAGACACAAAGCAGAACCATCATTTTATCCTCGGAACTCTTTGATGCAGCTTATCCAAACACACGTGCTTTCTCATAGGTAGGTGTTTCTGTATACCACACTTGACATGCAATAACTTCTTTGACCTTGTTTTTTACTAATTTTCATACTCTGAAAAAGCTTATACAGTATTTGCACTTGAGATTTTTCTTATTACACCAGAATGATTCATGATTTTTTTGTCTTAGCTTATGCCCTGGCTTGATGGAGGCTGCCTTAGAAAAGGCAGATGTACAGATGTTACAGCTCTGTCTACAACAGTTCCCTGACATTCCTGAATCAGTCACCTGTGCTTGCTTAAAAATTTTCTTGAGGTAAGTTAGAAGCTGAAGGTCCTTTTTCATTACTGCATTTTTAATCTTTTACATTACTTGATTTCTGAAACTTTGAATGCCTACAAAATGAACATTTGTCCAGTGAGATCATGCAGTGATTAGAATTCATTTCTCGCTTTCAATGAACATGATAGCATTAGTGATGGCAGTCTTCAAGAAGCAGAAATCAATATGGAATCAGTTTCTGACTATAGTGATTCTGTGCAAGAAGAGAAAATGGAAGAGCAAACGGAAGTTCTTCACAATGGCTTCAATGCTGAAGAAGAAAACTGTGGTAACTGTGATCGGGAGTTAAACAAAAAGCCTCAGGATGCAGCAGAGGAGACCACGTCGTGCCCTGTGATACCAAAGAGAGCAGCTCTGCTGTATCCTTTGAAATAATTTCCCCCGCATTGTCTCTTTCCCTACACTCAAGTGCTGAGCAGCAACTAGGGAGTAAATAGATCATTTCAGTAGTTTTCTGTTTTTCAGTTTTTTTCAGTTTCTGCTGGAAAATGGAGTACAGTCAGTGCTCTATGCAAACAGCTTTCTTAAACCTGATTTAAGAAGCTTTGTGAAGGCAGAAACTTTATTGATTCTAAAAATTAATATTCTGGATAAATACCAATTACAGGAGTGAAGTATCCCAAATGACCTCTGGTATTTATGAGAAAGTTCAGTGATAGAACTCTTTGAGAAAAGTAAAACTTCTTACAAATTTAGAAGAGATATCACTGGGGAAAGGAGTTACTCATAATTTCAGTGGAAAAGCCTTTATTTATTGAAACAAGGTTTTCCTTTAGTCCTAAGTAGAAATGCAATTCTTCATTCGGCTTACAGCGAAATGTTTCTTCTGCCTCACTTGAAAGACATTCCAGCACAACATGTCACTGTAAGTGTTCTTAGCATCCTATATAATTTTATTTCTGCTTTATTTATTTTTTTAAAGACTTTATTTATTTATTTGAGAGAGAGAGCGAGCATGCATCAGATGGGGGAAGGTCAGAGGGAGAAGCAAACTCTCCACTCTCCAGGGAGCTTCATGGTGGGGGTGGAGGCGGGGGAGGCTTGATCCTTGGGCCCTATGATCATGACCGGAGCTGAAGGCAGACACTTAACTGACTGAGGCACCCAGGCACCTCTTATTTCTGGTGTACATTTTCCTGCTTAACTCTAACCAGCTTTAGGGGTATTTTTAAAAGGTTATCAGGTTCTTTCATGTGAATAAGAGGTTTCCCAGCCCCACCCTGAAAAATAGTGCCTAGGAGACAGTAACTTTTGGTTGGCAGATCTTAGCATATTCCTGGTGCCAAGCCTGAAGGCCAGGTTAATCCATCTAAGTTAAAAGCAAGTGTCTGGCTGGCTCAGTTGGCAGAGCATGTGGCGCTTGCTCTCGGGGTTATGAGTTTGGGCCCATGTTAGGTGTAGAGATTATTTTAAAAATACATATATACATACATAGATACATACACATTTTGGGTGTTTAGTTGTTGTTGTTGTTTTTCTTTAAGTAGAAACTGAAAGTTGCTGAGAGATGGATTTTCTTTTCTACTTACTACTTAAAAACAGAATAAGCTCCCCAGCCACCCCTCCCAAACCAGATGAATTCCTCATTGATGGCAAAGACTGCATTTTATTCATTTTTGTGTCCCCAGGTGTCTAGCTTATTTGTTTGATGTATAACTAAACTCAGTACCTTCTTAATTTTTTTTGGCTCTTTGTTGGCTTTATATAGAGAGAACATTATTCTATCAAGGTGATAAATTGTCCTTTTTTCCCCTACCCAGCTATTTCTCCAGTATTTGTATTTCCTTTATCTGAAGTGTAGTGAAAATGCTACTATGACTCTTCCTGGGCTACACCCTCCAACCCTGAACCAAGTAAGATCATCTTTTTTTCAATTTATTGTTTTACTTTTTATTTTAATTCAAGTATAGATAACATACAGTATTATACTAGTTTCAGGTATACAGTATAGTGATTCAGCCCTTAACAGCATCCAGTGCTTATCCTGATCAGGGAACTCTTATTCCCCTTCGCCTGTTTACCCCATCTCTCCACCTGCCTACCCTCTGGTAATCAACGGTTGTTCTCTCTAGTTAAGAGGCTGTTTTTTTGGTTTGTCTCTTTTTTCTTTGTTCATATGTTTTGTAAATTCCCTACATGGGTGAAATCATGTGAAAAAGATTGAGTTATGCTTGTGAAATAAGTGTAAATCGAAGAAGAGTATTTTTTATACTGGTTAGAAATTACTCCATTTCTAAACTTAAATGTTTAGATTTTAGTAAACAAGACTAATTTTTATAACTGATATAATTCTGGACTTTGTAAAATGAATTAAGCTGAAATTAAATTTAAAATCTTAATTTTCCTTTTCCTGTTTGTCTTCAGATTATGGATTGGATATGTCTACTTCTGGATGCTAACTTTACTGTTGTTGTGATGATACCAGAAGCAAAAAGGCTACTGTTGAGTCTTTACAAGTTTGTGAAATCCCAGGTGTGTGATTATTTGATATATATCGAGTTTCATTAGTACCCAAGTTATCACTTAAATTATAATTTTTTCTTAAAATTTTTATCTTGGAATAGTTATAAGTGGTCATGGAGGATTTGTACTTGTAAAAGTTATGGTAAAAGTTACTCCGAAACTTTTTTCTTTAGGTTTGCATTTGTTCCGAGCTCAACAAGATTGAAGTAAGTTTTCGTGAGCTGCAGAAATTAAATCAAGAAAAGAACAATAGAGAATTATATTCAATTGAAGTGCTGGAACTCTTCTGATATAACCAGTTCTCCTTCACAGACGTTTTATGAGCCTCTTTTATCTGATTTCTTCCTGCTTATCCAGGCAAGGGATGTGTTTTGTTTGTGACTCTCGCTGTCAGTGACAAGAGAAATGTGTCCTCTAGTACCTGGGCCGTCACTTACGGATGCTTCTGGGTTGGACTGTAGGTTTCACGTGAACCTATTTTAGTTTATAGACATTGGTGGGGAGAGGTTCCGAAGCTTTTTTTAAATATGTAACTGAGCTGATTTTAAGTAAACTTATTTGTGTATTGATAAAAATCTGATTTCTTACCATGTTTTTTGATTAGTTCTTCATTTAGTTAAAGAAAAAAAAATCACCATAGAAACGGTGATTTTAAGAAGAATGTAGTTTTATCAGAGTCAGAAGCTGTCCCAGTGCGTCTAAGCTCTTGGGTGACAAAGGAGGTGAATTCTGTAAGCAGGGTGGGGAAGGGTCTTCATACAGACATATGCTTCTCTTCTGCCACTTCCTTCTGTACTTTACCTGCTTCCACTTACGTTCTTTACATGCTCAGGTGTTGAACAATACCTCATTCTATTTATTATATCTCAGATTATCTTCATGATTAGTTGGTAATTTAGGTTTCTCTTCTGAAAATAGTTTTTTATAGGTTGACTGACCATAGAATTCCCTGTTTTAATTCTTTGGATTTAGGGCAAGTGAGGGACTTTATGTAGACAAAATGGTATTTTGTTTCTTGAAAAGAAACTCAAATTTATCTTTGGTAAAAGTGAAATAATTCTTTCAGGTGATGAATAAGATCTCTATAAATAACTTGAAACACTTCTGAGCTGTGCAAGTCTCTGTTAAGTAAATCGTTTTGAAACCTGTTTTAACTTGAAGGGTTAGAATAAGTTAAAAACAAAAATTCCTGTAAATTCTAGTGCAGAAATGCAAGTTCCAGTGTGATTGTAGAGATCAGCGTTACAGAATCCCAGCTACTTAACATAATTTGCATCGGAGAAGGGCTTCATTTTAGGCTGGCACTCTCGGTACACTTTAGTTACAACTATGGCAGATAACAGACCGCTGCTGCTTCTCAGTCTGCTAAATCTGTCTTTAATCCTGAGAGAAAAGATTACAAGGGTAACCCCGTATATTAATTGTCACGTTCACTTCGTACAATAGGACTTCTTGCTCAATTTAAAGTGATACAGTTACTTCTCAGCAGAAGTAAAAAATGCAGGCTTTCATAGTAGTTTCTGTATATGTCCTTATAAAAATAAATATTGGTTCTTTTACAGTCTTTATTGTGAAGTTTAGTAATTTGGTTGTAAATATGGAAACATTGCTGATGCTCAATATAAGTACAAAATTAGGTTGCCTACGGTCTGAGTCACTAAATTTAGAAATAAGGATTTTATAAGGACATATAGAAAACTTTTTTATTGAAGTACAGTTGACAGCAGACTCTTAGAGGCTGAGTCCTTCAAACCAAGGATTGTGTCTTACCCTTTCTGCACTCTAAACACAGGACCACAGGCACATAATTAGTGTTCAGTAAATGGTTATTGAATAAAGTTATTGAATAATGGATCTTATCTGTCCAGCTATAGGGTAACAATTCTGAGGGTTTGCAGTAATCTTTCTGGAAAATAAATCTATCTGTGTTCACTACATATAGGCAGTGTACCTTTTTCCTCTATCCTTTTTTTTTTTTTTTTTTTAAGATTTTATTTGTTTGAGAGAGCGAGCGAGCATAGGGGGATGGGGCAGAGGGAGAAGCAGACTCCTTGCTCAGCAGGGAGCCCGATGTGGGGCTCTATCTCAGTACCCTGGGATCATGACCTGAGCTGAAGGCAGACACTTGATGACTGAGCCACGTAGACACCCCTAGTCCCAAAGTAGTTTTAAGAAAAAAACAGTGAACACCTATTTATTCTTTTTTTTTTTTTTTAAAGACTTTATTTATTTGACAGAGAGATCACAAGTAGGCAGAGAGAGAGGGGGAAGCCGGCTCCCTCCTGAGCAGAGAGCCAGACGCGGGGCTTGATCCCAGGACCCCGGGACCATGACCTGAGCCGAAGGTAGAAGCTCAACCCACTGAGCCACCCAGGCGCCCCAATTCTTGACTTAAATTTACCTATTGGTAACATTCCGCCATGTTCCTTTCACCACTGTCCATATATTTTTTCTTTCTTTAATGATCATTTGAGAGTTATTTGCAAACATCCAGATTAATCCCTTAATTCAGTTTAATCCCATAAATACATCAGTTTAATCCTCTAAAACAAGAGCGTTACTTAACATGACCACAATGCAATTATCAAATTCAGGTAATTAAGAATAATACAGTACTGTTTGAATGATGACAGTCCTTTAGATTTCCATAATTGCCTCAGTAATGTACCTAGAGCTGGACTTTTTCCTCCTAAAATCCTTTTCAAGGATATTGCGTTGTATTTAGTTTTCATATTTCCTTAACCTCCCTAGATAATTGCCTTCTTGAGGAATCTAGGCCGTCTATTTTGCTGAATGTCCCTCAATTTGGATTTGTCTTATTTTTACATGATCAGATTCAGATTAACATTTTGACAGGGGATGCTGCAGAGATAATACAGCAGGAGGAGGCATTGATGCAACTTACCCCATCATTGGTGATGTTAAACTGGATAACTTAGTTAAGGTAGGGCTTACCAGATTGCCTCTGCCTTTTCTCTTTGTAACCCTAAGTATCCTGTGTATATCTTTGAGACTATGTGAATATCTTATTCTGGAATATTCTTCCCTAACAGTGGTTTTAGATCTCTTGGTAATTTTTGCCTCAATCAGTTTTTACTTTGGTGGATGTGATTGGAAATTACAAAATTGTTTTGGCATAAATTTCACTTTAAAACTGAACACTGCCATTCTCATCTCTGCTGTCTGCTTTCTAATCTGTATGTGGATGGCCAGATGAATGGATGGAGTTGTTTCACAGATTTAAATAGTTACCACATTGAGCATACACTGTATGGTCTATCATTTTCATTTAATATTTTCGTAAAATAGATTTTTACATAGTATGTTTCGATTCTTAGAAATTTCAGACTCAGAAAACTATAGACCTGAAAAGGCTTACCAGTAATTTATTCCTAAATGTTAAGTGTCTCATGCAGTTCCCACAGCTTTGTACTTAGCAGAACTGAGGTGTGACTTTAGACTGTACCATTCCACTTCTGTAAATCATCATCATTATAAATTTGGGACACTTAAAAGCATACCCAAATTACCTGAATATTTGAAATTCTTCTGTTTGCTACAGATAAATATCTTAAGTTAAAAAAAAAAAAAGTAAAAATTCTGGACAACTCTTCAGTTGAAGAGTCATCATTTTAAATTTCCTCCTCCTGGAACCTCTTCTTTCTTTCTTTCTTTCTTTTTTTTAAGTATATTTTTAAAATTATTTATTTATTTGACAGACAGAAATCACAAGTAGGCAGAGAGGCAGGCAGAGAGAGAGACAGGGAAGCAGGCTCCCTGCTGTGCAGAGAGCCCGATGCGGGGCTCGATCCCAGGACCCTGGGATCATGACCTGAGCCAAAGGCAGAGGCTTTAACCCACTGAGCCACCCAGGTGCCCCAACCTTTTCTTCACTTAAGAAAGCAGTGTACTATTACTTACGTGGTTTTATTTTCTTCTATTTTAATTTCCCTTAAGTAGGCTCCACACCCAACATGGGGCTTTAACTCACAACTCTGAGATGAAGAGTTGCATCCTCTACTGACTAAGCCATTTAGGTACCCCTAAAGTGGTTTTAAATAAATGTCTGTTAAGGTTTTCCTGTTGCTTTTAGGTCACATGCTATTCCCTAGATTAACAAAGCCAGTAATTAGAGTTGTAGTTTTTTGTTTTTTAAGTATTTATTTATTTATTATTTTAGAGAGTACAACCAGGGGGAGGGGGTGAGGGAGGGAAGAGAATCTGAAGCAGACTCTGTGCTGAGTGTGAAGCCTGTTGTGGGGCTCACTCTCACGACCTGAGTTGAAATCAAGGGTCAGACACTTAACTGACTGAGCCACTCAAGGCACCCCAGATAGAGTTGTGGTTTTTGCGTATTAGATATTTCATTTCATTTTTTTTTAAGATTTTTTTATTAATTTGACAGAGATCACAAGTAGGCAGAGAGGCAGGCAGAGAGAGAGGAGGGGGAAGCAGGCTCCCTGCTGAGTAGAGAACCCGATATGGGGCTCTATTCCAGCACCGTGGATCATGACCTGAGCCGAAGGCAGAGGCTTTAACCCACTGAGCCACCCAGGCGCCCCTAGATATTTCATTTCTAATACAATTCAGATCCCAGTTGCTCCACTACTTTATGCTCATTTTCATACTTAGGATACTGTAATTTGGTGTTTCATCTTAGGACTATAACCCCAAGTTACTATATAATTTTGTGTAGGAAAAATTTTGTTTCTGTAAGACCTGCTTCACAGTAGTCCTTCTTGGGATGTAGTTTATAGGAACACCTCGTGACAATAAATGGGTTCCATCCGTATAATCCTCAAAAGACTCTCTGATAGATTCTGCTTGAGATTCTCTTTCTCCCTTTACTCCCTCCTGCTCGCACTCTGTCACTTGCTTTCTCGAAGATAAATAAATCTTCAAAAAAAAAAGCCTGGGTGGCTTAGTCAGTTAAGCATCCAACTTGACTTTGACTCAGGTCATGATCTCAGGATCGTGAAATTGAGCCCTGCATCTGTCTTGCCCTGGAGTTGGAGCCTGCTTAAGATTCTCTTTCCCTCTGCCTCTACTCCCCCCCCCCCCCCCCCGGCCAAAAGTTCTCTCTCACCTAATAGAGAAGCTGAGAGATTTTTTTCTTATTTTTTAAAAATAATTTATTTTTTTTAAAGATTTTGTTCATTTGAGAGAGAACTAGCAAGCATGAGCGAGAGAGAAAAGCAGACTCCCTGCTGAGCAGGGAGCCCAATGAGGGGCTGGATCCCAGGACCCTGAGATCATGACCTGAGCTAAAGGCAGACGCTTACCCGACTGAGCCCCCCAGGTACCCCACAATTTATTTTTTTAATACAATTTAAGTAAGCCCTATGCCTAACGTGGGGCCTGAACTCATGACCCCGAGATTAAGAGTTGCATGGTCTGCCAACTGAGCCAGCCAGGCACCCCAAGAAGCTGAGAGATTTGCTCAAGATTGCTTACTACTCAGTGGCAGTGTTTGGGCTCAAACTCAAGCTCTTTTTAAAAATAAGTACTGGGGAGAACGACTGGATGGCTCAGTGGGTTAAGCGTCTGTGTTTCGCTCAGGTCATGGTCCCAGGGTCTTGGGATTGGGTCCCACATCAGGCTCCTTGCTCAGCAGGGAACCTGCTTCTCTGCCTGCTGCTCCCACTGTGTGTGCTCTCTTTCTCTCTCTGACAACTAAATAAATACAGTATTTTAGAAAATTGGGCATAGAACCTACTTTTAAAAAAAGACTTAAGGGACACCTGGGTGGCTCAGTTGGTTGGGCAGCTGCCTTCGGCTCAGGTCATGATCCCGGCGTCCTGGGATCGAGTCCCACATCGGGCTCCTTGCTCATCAGGGAGCCTGCTTCTCCCTCTGCCTCTGTCTGCCATTCTGTCTGCCTGTGCTCGCTCTCTCTCCCTCTCTCTCTCTGACAAATAAATAAATAAAATCTTTAAAAAAAAAAAAAAAAAAAGACTTAAAATTTCTTATTAAAAATAAAAGTAAGGGGGCGCCTGGGTGGCTCAATGGGTTAAGCCTCTGCCTTTGGCTCGGGTCATGGTCTCAGGGTCCTGGGATCAAGCCCCACATGGGGCTCTCTGCTCAGCAGGGAGCCTCCTTCCCCCTCTGCCTCTGCCTGCCTCTCTGCCTATTTGTGATCTCTCTGTCAAATAAATAAAATCTTTTAAAAAATAAAAAATAAAAGTAAGTATTAATATTTTAAATTTTGTGCAAATACACTAAAACCCTCAGGAAACCATCACTTAGGACCATAGTTATTGAGCTAACACACTTAAGCCTTTATTGCTGAAACCCTGTGCCAGGGGCAGATTGTACTGTGGTCCGAGAAGAGACAAGGGCTCAACCTCTGTTAGGAGCTGTTAGCAGATGAAATTTGAAGATTAAATATGATTAAATAATTACTGAATGGCAATTAGTAAGACAGCCTGGATGGCAAA